AGCTTCTTGATGGCACAATCTTCAAACACATCGATTTTGTTGACATTCAGAGGACTAGACAACACTGCATTTGGAGTCAGTTCCAGGGGGTAAATGGACGTGTCCGACTCACTAGAATTATTCAAAGTGTAGTCATAGATCCAGATACCAGCTGAAACTATCCAAAAGACGATGAATCCGTAGAAAAAAAACCTTCGATTGTGACTAATGTTAAATAATTTCCCCATAATATGAGACAAATCACCCTATATCTTGATAAGTGTTGACAAAATCCGGGAGACCATTTATAAATAAGGAGCATAATCACTTTGAGCTATATACGTGTCAGGTGTAACTGTGAGTGAAGCGGTAAGAGGCAATTGGGATGTGTTGGGAAAGGGGAATGCAATGTGACGAAATGGGGTCTTCTGGTCCCTGTTTTTCCGTCAGACTTTGCAGATAAGGAGTGTCATCACCATAAAATCTCATTAGCGTTTGAAAGTCAGATATGCAGATACGAGAAATGATGTTAATTAAGCATGATGATATTACCTCTTTGAGTGCTTGGGGCTAGCTCATAAGATACCCAATGAGGCTAATGGCTGAGTACATGGCCCTATCTGTGAAATGTTGCCTCCAAAGAATAGTGAATCACCAATAATTACCCCTTAAAGAATGAAAGGGGCTTCATATGCTAGAATATTTTTTGGTTAACAATAAGTTGCAAGTAATCTTAATTCAGCATTGCAATTATCAGGTCATGACGATCTTCGGGATAGTCAGCAAGGCCTATTGTCTAATTGCCTAAATGGTTCAGTGAGCTGATTATCTATTAAACCCGCTGTGCTAGTGAGTTTCACAAGCAGCCAAGGACACATACTCTGTAATCGTGTATGTTCTTGTCATAGATATATCCGGTCTTTATTCCACACCACCACATTTCCCAGTTTCAACTTTGGTTTAAGAATCATGCACTACCATAACCTGTTACTATTTTAGATTGCAAACTCTCCTTTCCATTTGTATTCAACCATAGCAACTTGTTATCCTTGTTGCGTAATTCTTTGGGCCAGGGAAAGGGGCTGGTCCAAAAAAATTATGGGCGACACAATCGCGAACCCCCCCCCCCCCCAAACCCGGCCATATCATGAGCAAATTTGCGGGAGATACGAAAATTTAAGCAATAAGATAAGATTGCTAATAATAAGTACAGATGTACAAACGTATTAGAACTAACTTCAACAAAAAGAATCTTTAAGTTCAATTGAAACCACCTATCTGAAAGCTTGGGACTTGTTGTTTGTCTGTAGTATGGGGATAGATTGGCATTTGAAAGCCCAATATTCTAAGACATGTTAATGACAGCGAATACAGCCCATCTGTAAGAAAATAGGTGGTGGGTCACCAAAAAATGGATTGTCCCTTTATGGATGGGAATCAGTTTAACTTCGCATTCGAAAGTTCTTGCTAGCTATAAATTGCCTCTCTAAGGATTTACTCTTTTCAAGATTGTGGTTATCAGGTCATGACGCTTTGGGGTATTCAAAAAATTTTATATTTCAAGTGCCTGATTGGCTAATTAATATTTAATCTTATCTGAATACGTAGTTTAAACTTAAAAAATGAGATGTCTAAGCTGTTTTTGTAACCTTTATTTAAAAATATTTCGGCCCGTATGCAACAGTATGCATGATTATTGGCAACAATATCCTAAATAATCAAGGTGTGTGGTGAATAATGAGGATAGGATTGCTATTTGGTGGAAAGACAAGCCACAACAGGTTATCAAAAGTTTATAGATAAATTAAAGATTATTCAAAGTTGAAGATATACCTAATTGTAGCGCCGAAAAGAACCGTTAGTTTCCGGATTGGTTAATAATTTTTGGTATAGCTTGCATAAAATTCTGTGCCAAAAGGTTTTAACCATATTTTAATTGTCAACTTCAAAAATGAAAACCAAACTTCGATTTTGTTATCTGTAATAGGTCAACTTAAGAACTGTATTTTGAGAGTGTTGGGTAAGCTTTAATCTTATGTTCAAAAGCATTAACTATAAGCTTGACCCTGTATGGCCAGAGAATTCCTTTAAGTGGCAACTGGAAATACTTGTAACTCGTTTTACACTGAGCACAATGACATCTTATTGACTATAACATTATTTATATTGTTTGGGTTTTCCGAAGGTTGAGGTCAAGCAATAATGAAAATCCAGTTCAAATTAGCCACTCTTGTGGTTTTTCAACTTTTCTGTGGTGTGGCCACTGCTGATACGATTGGAGGATGCAGTCCTTCTTCTGTCACTAAAGGTCTATACGCCGATTATGTCAACATAACTTCTGAAGAATATGGTATTTACACTGGACTTGATGCGGCTCTTTCTGCAATTGACCAAGCAGAGGCAGATTATTCCTGGGGAGGAGTAACCAGCCAAGACTTCTCATTCGAAGCACTGGACGATGGGACCGCTTATTATGGAGACCTATACGGGAAAAATGTTAACGTAGCCTACTTTGGTTTGAGACTATCGGGATATTTTTATGCAAGTACAACTGGAGACTACACATTCGAAATAAGCTTTGCTGATGATGCAGCGTCTTTTACCCTTGGATCAGGGGTTGCTATGGATTGTTGTGGACTGAAACCGCTCACAGGAAATTTAGATGAAATGGCTAGTGTATATGCCTCAGGTGAAGCATCATCTGCTACAGAGACAGTTACCCTTACAGGAGGAGTCTATTATCCTATTAAGGTGGTCTACTACCAAGCAACTGGCCTTGGTCAACTAAACATGTCCGTAACCTATCCTGATGGAACTAAACATACAGATGATATTGATTGGTATAGCTCAACTGACAATAGCTCATCGTGTCCTTATTCAGTTACCACCACCATTATATGGACTGGAACTGATACTGAGACTGTTACAGTAACAGGCTCTGATGGGGATGTGACTGTTACTGTTGAAATACCAGAGACCACTACAACCACTACTGATGTATGGACAGGTTCGGTACCTACTACTATTACCATCTACCCATCCAATCCAAGTGATCCTGTGACTATTACCGTCTTGACTCCTGAAACTACAACGACCACTACTGAACCATGGACAGGCACT